ATAACCATAACAGAAGTCTAAACATACTTAAATTATCGAACATTGGCTGAGGGTATATGTCTGTCGGTAGAACCGATTTATACTTTTTAACCTGTTTTTATCGTCAAATAAATAACGTTAAATAAGAATTAAACATAAAAAAAAAATCATTATATCACAAAATTTAATAAAAAATTTAGAAATAAAATCATGTCGAAAAAATCCAAAAAATATACCGAAAATCCGATAGTGTCTTCAAATGGGTGTTTTGTCTAAAATTGAATCCATTTGGACAAAGAAAAACAAGGCAGCCGTTTAAAAATGGGGGGAGGGGAAGCTTTGTAACTTGGGAGGGAGCTACCATTGCATATATGGGGAAGTCACCGACTTAGGCAGGAGGTTACATATTTTACATTGAACTATCAATATCAATCAATCTTGGACGTGGACATCTGAATGTCGAACATTTAGGACGAGTTATGTTAGTGTTAAGTTAGATAACTACCAATAACTAACTTTAAATGTCATTAAAAATGTTTTTTATATGGAAACTATACCAACTTGGATAATATCTATGGAAATTTTGGCTAAAGCTCGTTTGATTTTCACAAAGGACGGGCTTTGCTATGCATTACGAAATCAATGCCAAATCTTATCTTGATCAAGAATATAAGCACTTAGCGCCATCGAAAAGGAATATTTCGAGTAGTTACAAATGAAATGGAAGACTCAATATATCCTCGGTCATATGGTTGTGGGTATAAAAAGAAAATAAAATATAAAGAAATAAAACTTCAAAATTTTATGAGTTTTCAATACTTCAAAAGTTAATGCAAAATGTAGACCATTTTTGGACTCAAGAGCGCAAAATGAAAGTAACACATTTTTCTTTTTTACAACTAAACACTTTTTGTCAGTTCCACCGACGCCAAGGTAAGGATATCATCGATCCATTAAAAATACGTACTGGATACCAACAAATGTGTTTAAATGAGCTAGAATGTAATAAAATTACATGGGATTTAAAATAAATTATGCCACCTAATTTTCAATTTTTACCTTTCTAAAAAGGTTGATAATTTTTAAAAAGAAACAATATTGTTAAACATGAAAAGCTGAATTGTAAAACAAAACAAAGAAAAAAATCCAACAACAAAAATATAATTATAAGAAACAGGATCTGAAGGAGTCGACGAAAAAGAAGAAGAAATATCAATGTACCTTTTTTTAAAACAGGATTTTTTATATACATTTGTAAATGAATAAATTAATAAAATTAAAATAATTAATTAATTAAGTTAAACTAAGAAATTCAATTTTAGAAAACAATTAAATACCACAAGAAACACTACAAAATACACTACATTTGTAAGTTTTATTTGGTAACTTAAGAAAACAAAAATAATAAAATATTGTTTGTTTTTTATGGAATAAAAAAGAAATATTCTTAAAAGAAATAAAATATTTTTCTAATTAAGTTTTTATATATGAATATACAAGATTTCAGTCGTTTTTTTTAGATTTAAATATTTTGGTAGTCTGTAAGCAATGAAATAATGTTAAATATTAAACAAAAACTATTTTATTTATTTTTCCAAGTTTTTTTGTTTTATTTTTTTCTGATTTATTTTTTTCGTCAGATCAATAGACCAAGTTTTGTTTTGAATTTTTTAATAGCCCACAAATATTTGTATATATTTAGAAAACAACTTGTAAAAAACACCCCTATGTACATCAAAACTAAAAACCCCTATAGTTAGCACAATAAAAATTTTAGTCCAATGAAAACAAAATCAATTGATGGAATTTAATGCAATTAAAAAAATATATAATTTTTTTGAAAATTTGTTTATTTTCTATTCCTATTTTATGTCCCAGAGCAATTTCTTGTCCCAAAAAACCAAAAAAAAAAAAAGATTTGAATGATATTCGTTGAAATAAATGTGTACCTACAAAAAACAAAATAAATAAATAAAAAGAGAAAAAAAATCTATATAAAATATTAAATAAATTATTATGTGTGTGGAACATAGAAAATATAAAAAATGTGTTTTAATTCTAGGGACAGATGAATTGAAAAGAAAATACATAATTCATGCTAGTTAGAAAGTATTAAGTGCTTTTTGGCCGGGAAGTCTTTGAAAAAAAATAAAAATTAAATATTTTAAAAATTAAAATACTAAAATTAATTTGATTTAATATAAAAACATTTTTCTGGGAAGAGATAAAAAAAATATATTGAAAATGGTTAATTTTTTCAGGGAATATTTTTTTGTAAAAAATATTAAAAATCAATATTTTGTAAAAAAAAATAACCTATCAACAACTTTTGTCATTCATTATTTTCATATTTTCTTTCATATTTTTAAAAAAAAAAATCTACTAAATTCTTCCTGAAAGACCAATTTAAAAATCAAAATTAAATATCAACGGTTTTTGCCTAGAAATATTAAGATTCTTGTCCAAGAAGACTTTTTAAAAAAATTGGCAAAATATTCAAAATACTTATACTTACTTAAATAAATATATTGCGATTTTGTTCAAGAAGACATTAAAAAAAATAAAAATGGTTAATTTTTGTCGGGTCATACTTTCTTCTACAAATATTATAAATCAATATTTTGTAAAAAAAATATTAAAAATCAACTACTTTTGTCCAAAAAGTCCTTGCCTACATATTTTTTTAAAAAATCGACAAAATTCTTGCAAAAAGACATTTAAAAAAAAAAAATAAATCTCAACGGTTTTTGCGTAGGAAGATTTTAAGATTCCTGTCCAGCAAGATTTTTTTAAAATTTTGCAAAATATTTTGAAAAATAAGGTGAAAAATTAAAAATACTTACATTTAAAAATATATATATGTTCATTTTTGTTAAATATTAAAATGATTATTTTTTTTGTAAAAATATTAAAAATCAATATTTTGTAAAAAAATAGGAAGAAATGTTTTTTAAATATTAAAAATGGCTAATTTTTGTCCGCGAATAATTTTTGTAAAAAAAAATTAAACATCAACTTTTGTGTCTAGGAAGTTCTAGCTTAAATATTTTTTAAAACTCTACAAAATTTTTCCTGGAAGAGCAATTTAGAAATAAAAATTAAATATCAACGGTTTTTGCCTTTTTGACCACTTTAAGATTCTTGTCCAGGAAGACTTTTCCATAAATTTTGTAAAATATTTTAAAAAATAAGGTGAGAAATGGAAATGCACAAACTTGAAAAAAAGTAACGATTTTGTTCAGGAAGACTTTTTTTAAATATTAAAAGTGGTTAATTTTTGTCCGGTAATATTAAAAATCAATATTTTGTAAAAAATATTAAACATCTACTTTTTTGGCCACAAAGTCTTTGCTTATATATTTTTTAAAAAAATATACAAAATTGTTGCCGGAAAAAAAATAAATAAAAATAATATATAAAAAATATACGTTTTTTTCCCTGGAACACTTTGTTAAAAAATTAACGATTTTTGTCTGGGAAGTATATTTTTACGAAAGTATTTGAAAAAATAAATTTTTTTAAAGACATGTTAAAAACCGAAGATTTTCTTCTCAATGACCTTTTTAAAAATTATAAAAAGGTGCGGGATCTTTGCGCGGGAAGACATTCCTCTTCCAGAAGACTATTAAAAAACCAATTACTTTCGTTCTAGAACACTACAGAGTGAGATGAAAAACTGCAACCAACTTCAGACTGTTATCATTTCTAAGCCACTCGTCCGACAGCTGTTAAAATTATTCCAGTGACAGCTCAATATATTGTTTACAAGCGTACAAAAGCATTTTGGTAAAAAAAAAAGTTTTTCGTGATGGAATTCAAGCGTGATAGTGTGATTTCTTTATATTTGGCTGGAAAACCGCAAGTGGCTGTCGTTAGAGCACTCCAGCATTTAAATGTGAATAAATCTTTTGTGTCTCGTACCATCGCTCCAATGCGTCGTGAAACTGGTATCGTAGCCTGACGTCAAGAGAGTGGGCGGAAGAAAACAGCAACACTAGTAGAAATGGTTCGAGAAGTAAGGAAGCGACTCGCAGTGGCCAAAAAATGGCTCGTGAGCTGAACATATCAAAATATTCCATTGGGCAAATATTGAAAAATGAACTCGGGATAAATCCGATTGAAATTCCAAAAAGTTCAAGAACTTACACAGCAACAGGAAGAAAGTAGACTCAATAGAGCTAAAGAGTTGCTTTGCTTGGCCGAAAGTGGTCAATTGCCGAATTTTGTTTTCTCCGATGAGAAAACATTCGTTGTCCAGCAGTTTGTAAACAAACAAAATGATCGTGTTTACTTGCCAAAGAGGTCAGCTGAAAATGTGAAAATGTGCACCTTCGGTTGGCCACCAGAAGTCAAGCGCCGGCCATCGTGATGGTGTTGGGTCGCCATAACAGCCAATAGTCGCTCTTCGCTCGTATTAATCGAACGTGACATCGAAATAAATGCCAAATATTATCGCGAAAATATACTGGAGGGTGTATTAAAGCCTTGGGCACTCAAACATTTTGGCCGCAGACCTTGGACATTCCAACAGGACTCAGCACTCGCCACCCAAGAATGTTTACAAAATGAGGTTCCTCGCTTTATTTCCAGCGCACAATGGCCACCAAAATCTACGGATTCCAATCCGTTGGACTATTGTGTATGGAGTATTTTGGAAAGTAATGTTGGCACTAAAAAATACCAAAGTGTCGATCACCTCAAGCAAGCGCTTCGCCGGGAATGACCCAAAATACCGTAGACCAACATTCGGGTAGCGTGTGACGGTTTCATTGGCCGTTTGAAGGCCATAATTCGTATCAAAGTTGAGCAATTCGAACAAATCTAATCTCATTTTTTGCTTTCATTCAAAAAAATAAATAAATAAATAAATTAAAAATTATGGCGTTTGAGTTTCTTGTAGTTTTTCGTGTGTCAATTACTCTCTTTTAGATTTTCTATACATAACACTTTTAGCATATCTTGATTATTTGAAATACCTCACCGAAGACCTTTCAGATTTTTCACAACAAAACAAGAGTGCATAAAATAGGATCCTATATTTATTTTTTTTTAAATTATGTTATACGCTGTTTACATTTATTTACACATTTCCTTAATATATAATATATGTACGTCATTTCCCACTCAAATATATATATATTTATATATCCACATTTGTCATCAATTCAATATCCCCATTTTCATTCCGATTCAATTTTAAAAGGTAAACTTAATACCCCAAGTACCATCGGCAGTACGATAAGGTTCGGCTCCAAAACGTACTGGACTCTCGCTATCAGCTGGTGGATTTGAGGGATTCGAATCATTCGATTCGGCTGCTTTAGGTTGAGGATTTTCAGCAGCAGGCTGAGGCTGTAAATACAAGGAAAATTTAATTAAATTTAAAAAAAATTAGGTATATATTTCCTACCTTTCCCAAAGAGAGGGCAACCAGAGCGAAGAACAAAAAGATGGCTAGAAATTTCATGTTGAGGTTAACTCGTGTTTTGAATTTTAGCAATAATCTGCTTAGCTTATATACTGAATATTACATTAACCTAGGCCATTATTAGTTATCAGCTGATTGTTGATGAGAATGCAAATTTATCTATTCTGGAAGTAATTAGTGGCCTTCTATGACATTGATAAATTACTGTTCAATCAGTTGCTAGAAATGGTCCGAAAAATTCAGATTTATTCCTATAAAACAATAATTAATAAAATCATACATTTTATCTCATGGACTTATGAATTATGTGATGGGTGGCAGAATTAAGTGAAAGATGTCGCTAATATCATCAAAATACCAAATATTGTGAGGTACAATTATATGGGGGCTATACGAAGACGTGAACCTGTACAGACAATTTTCTGTCTTAAGCTGTAGTATCCATTACGAACTTTAAATACCAAATTTGAATCAATTCCGGTGAATAAATTCGCTAAAATCATCAAAATACCGAATATCGGGAGGTACCGTTATATGGGGGCTATACGACGACGTGAACCTGCACAGGCAATTGTCTGTCTTAGGCTGTAGTATCCATTAAGAACTTCAAATACCAAATTTGAAACAATTCCGGTAAATAAATTCGCTAATATCATGAAAATACCAAAAATCGGGAGGTACCGTTATATGGGGGCTAAACGAAGAAGTTGACATGCATATATAATTTTCTGGCACAGGCTGTAGTACCTATTAGGAACTTCAAATACGAAATTTCAAACCATTTCGGTGAATATTGTAGCTTAAATCGTCAAAATACCGAATATAGGGAGGTACTGATATATGGGGTCTATGCGACGACTTGGATCTACATAGACAATTTTCTGGCATAGACTGTAGTTCCCATTACGAACTCTAAATACGAAATTTGGAACAACTCCGGTGAATAATGTCGCTAAAATCATCAAAATACCGAATATCAGGGGGTGCCGTTATATGGGGGCTATACGAAGGCGTGGACCTCCACTGACAATTTTCTGACTTAGGCTTTAGTATCCATTACAAACTTCAAAATACTGAATTGGAAAAAATCCGGTAAATAATGTCGCTAAAACCATCAAAATACCTAATATCGGAGGGTACCGTTATATGGGGGCTATACGATATCGTGGACCGATATAGCCCATCTTCGAAGTTGACCTGCCTGCAGATAAAATTCTGGTCTGTGTAAAATGTTAGCTTCGCCTTGACTCTAGCGTGATTACAACAGATGGACAGACGGACGGACGGACAGGGCTAAATCATCTTCGAATTTTACGCTGATCAAAAATACACAAGGTGTGTGTGTTGTTAGGTCTAAAATTATTATTTCGATGAGTTACAAACTTAATATATATAGATCGTCAAATTCAGTTGACGATTCTCCAACTTTACTGAAATACCAGGTGCCCAGAATTCAAGAACAAGTGAGAAAGAGGCAAATAATAAAAAATACTAGAATTTTAATCTGGCAACATTAAAATTTAAATAAATTTAAAATTCAAAGCCTATTCTCAGGCGCAATAGTTATTACGATTAGTAGAGATGGTGTTGCCAGATTATACCTTAAAACAATGTGTTGGGAGTATTATACGTTTGATTGGGCTAAATAGTTTGTAACACCTCGAAATATTTGTTTGTTTTGAACTAGACCCCTCTTTTTAGGTTATTTTGCGATGTTTACTTTCAAACCACCGGTACACGTGTCGTCTATTTTTATAGCCTCAGTCATATGACTAGAGAGGGTAAATATCATTTCATATTGCCAAAATAACGGTTTTAAATCCTAGGTCTCTTTGAACCAAATCCGTTTCAGGATATTTGGAGTCGGTCTAACTATGTCCGACCGTCTGTCTGGCTGTCTGGTGCCCACAATAACTCTCGAAAGGAATATCCGATCTGATTCCAACTCGGTACATTGTAATATTATTGTCAAACTTAGATCGAATTCGGAAATATCGGTCCACTCCTTCCGGCACCTCCCCCACATAATATCAACTTTTCAAAGAATTTAATTTACTGCACAAAAAGAGAAAGGATAATCCGATTTTGCTCCAATTTTGCAAATCCAAATATTTTCACCAGTGCTAGGTCAGGTGCGAAAATGGACAATATCGGTCCACTCCATAAAGTACTTCCCCCACAAAGGGTCAACATTTTGAATAATTATAATTCATATAAAATATGATGTAAGTGCCCGATTGTCTTCAAATTAGACACATCACAATATTTTTATTAAACGAAGGTCTGGTGGGAAGATGGAATATATCGGTCCACTCCTTCTGGTACCTCCCCCATAATGGATCAAAATTTTGAATATGCATGAAGCACACATCCAACCAAATATTTTTCACATCACTCAAATTGACGATTCTCAAATTGTTCTAAAATACCAGGTGCCTAGAATTAAATAGCAAGAGGGAGATACTAAAAAAATATTATTGAATTTGAGTCTGGCAGTCCCTTAATATTTACTCAAATTTAAAATTCAAAGCCTATTTTCAGGCGCAGTAGTTATTGCGATTACCAGACCAGTTTGTTTTAATAGCATACTTAAGGGCGCTCGACAAATTACTGAGAAAGATGTTGCCAGATAATTTTTTACATTTTTATACCAATTATTTAATTAAATTTAATCTTATTTAAATCGGTACTTCATTCAAAGACATAGAAGTATAAAGATAGGACAAGACAGAGTAAAAATATGGCAACCCTGTGAAAATATCTCTGTTGTTATGATATCATAGCAACATAGTTGCCAATGTAAACTGACTTAAACCGCTAAGGAAGCATGCACATTTTTAGAATAGTCTATGGAATAGAATTTTTGAATCACATTTTCCGATTTTCCGAACTTTAATTTGTCATTCGTTTCTGTAATTGATGTTTTTTATATTAACATGCCTCTGTCATAAGCTGTTACTCTATGCATTGTAGACACAAACCATTTGCTCAAAATGCATTTTGTCTAGTCTTTACCATTTTAGGTCTTTGCTTCATTTAAGTTTATTCAAAATTCTCCTGCAATTACTTTAGAATGATGTCTTCAAAGACAGAAATATTTTTTTTATCAAATTTCTCGCTTAGCCACCAAAGAAGAGAAATCTCTATTTCAATTGTATATCAGAAAAAATATATATATTTGAGTTTATATAATAATAATTCATCATTTAATCCTCAAATATGCGTTGACGTCGAATCATCATAACGACATGTTTCATTGAATTCCACAACTCCAGCCAATCCCTCCAATAAATGCCATCGGCAAACTCTCCCTTATATTTGGCCTGGTGATAAAATCCTGTGGGAACACTAGAATAAGAAAAAAATGCTAAATTACCATGAACAATTTTGAAATTCTCCTTCTCAACTCACGTTCGGGCACAACTCTTGTACCACCAACCGCCTTTGTGGGCGGTGGCACAATTCTGTGTATGATTATCATTATCCTCATCATATGTCGTGAAAGCAGCTCCCAAAGAATACGACAAACTATCTCCGGCATTACCCGAATATTTACCCAACACCTTCAATTTATACTTCTCATCGGCTCCACCAATCACAAAATGATCGTAACGGGCATAACGCATTGCTCCACTAAAATTATGCATATAAACATACAACTCCTGCGGCCCGTCGAAATTCGTGAGAGCATAAATATTTTCCAACCCAATCCAATATTCACCATCCACAGCGCCAAAACCATTCACATAGTCCATCCAAGGACGATTGAAATTTTCCGAGCCATCAATGCGCTGCAAGATATGCAACCAATCACCGCCTTTGGTGCGATAATCACAGAATGCTTGAAAGGTGTGGTTGCGATAGCGGGACACGGTTATGTTGTAATAGCCACTGGTCTCGGTGCAGGCCGTTGCCATGGCACAGTTTGAGGGTGGGGAAGAATGGTTTTGACACTCTTCGGGTAATTCATCGATGCGTATGTCAAAGATGGGCTTACTTTGATTGCGATATTTTTCCCGTTCGGCATATTTTTGGGAGGGTGATTTCGGAGGGTGTCTGCAGGGAAGAAATTGAGGTTATTTTAAGATTTAAGGTGTCGTATCTGGATATACTTACACTTCCCTCTCCACTTTGAGTCTCAACAGATTCAGGGAGTTTTTGATACTTTCTACGTCGTCGAATATTTGCTGGTAATTCTCAGCATATTTTACATCTTCAGATTTCTACAAGTAAGAAAAGAGAAAAGAGAGAAAGAGAAACAGAGAGAGAGTATATTATAAAGAAAACCGATTGTTAAAGGTCAGATTACACATCATTTTCACAGCTTTTTCCTAAATTAAACATTATCGTTTTATAGCATATTTTTAGGCGCTCCCAGAATTTTTATAGCCTCCACCATACATAGTGTGGAGGGTTCATCATTCCGTTTGTAACTCATCGAAATAATAATTTTAGACCTAACAAAGTATACATATTCTTGATCAGCGTCAAATTCTAAGACGATTTAACCCTTTCCGTACCAGAAGAAATGGTCCGATTTGTACCATCCTTAAAGCAGACCTTACATTAATGGAAATATTGAAATGTACCAAGTGTGAATGGAATCGGATGTTAATTTCGCGTTTATGAGCCTCATGGATATTCAACATGTTGACCCTTTGCTGGGGGAGGTACCAGAAGGAGGGGACCTGTATGTCCCATCTTTACAGCAGATCTTCAGTTAGTATAAATAATGGGAAGTGTGAAATATGAAGAGAATCGGATGCTTATTCCGGATTGTATAATCGTTTTGGATATTCAAAATGTTGACCCTTTGTGGGGGAGGTATCTGAAGAAATGGTCCGAACTCTACCATCTTTCTAACAAATCTTCTGTTGATGGAAATATTGAGATGTACTAAGTCTGAGTGAAATCGGATGTTAATTTCGCGTTTTATGAGCTTCATAGATATTCAAAATGTTGACCCTTTGTGTGGGGAGGTACTAGGAGTGCACCGATGTATGTCATCTTCACACCAGACCTTGGGTTAATAAAAATATTGTGCTGTGTAAAATATGAAGAGAACCAAATGTTTATTTCGGATTTTATGATTGTTTCAGTTATTCAGAACTTTGACCCTTTGTTGGGGAGGTACCTGAAGGAATGGTCCGATCTCTACCATTTGTATAACAGACCTTGCGTTGATGGAAATATTAAGATGTGCCAAGTCTGAATGGAGTCGGATGTTAATTTCATATTTTATGAGCTTCATAAATATTCAAAATCTTGACCCTTTGTGGGGACGATACAAGATGGAGCAGATCTTGGGTTAGTAAAAATATTGTGATATGTGTAATTTGAAGACAATCGGACATGGAAATGGAAATATTGAGATGGACTAAGTCTAAATGAAATCGAATGTTAATTTCGTGTATTATGAGCTTCATAGATATTCGAAATTTTAACCATTTGTGGGATCAAAGGGTCATTTTGACCCTTACTGGGTGAAGTGGGTCGATATTGTTCATTTTTGCACCTGACCTAGAAGTGACGCAAATATTTAAATTTGCAAAGTTGGAACAAAATTGGGTTACCGTTTCTAATTCTGTGCAGAAAATATATTTTTTGACAATTTCGACCTTTGGTGGGGGAGGTACAAGAAGGAGTGAATCGATATTGTCCATCTCCGAACTCGGTCTAAGTTTGAAAATAATATTGCCATGTACCAAGTTTGGATCTATTCGGATACTCCCTCCGAGAGTAATCATGCGCACCAACCAGATAGACAGCCGGACATCCCTAGATCGACTTCAAATGTCCTAAGACAGATTTGGTCCAAAGAGATGAGGCCGTATCAAATGATATATCCATATGGCCCAGCCAGGTATAAAACGTGAACCTAAGTTAAACCGATTCCTATAGAATTTAACAGAGGTATTTCTATGCTGTATCTGATAACCAAATATCGTTGTTGTGCTGTCCATGTATTGATAAATAGTATAGAGTCTTTTAAACCAGAATTCCAAAGAATTCTTCTATGTGGAAGGGTCCTCTAAAAGGTCTTCTATATCTGAAGACTTTCGATATATTCCTTGTAGCCGACTTACCGCACAACAAAATACACTGCACACCAGTAAAACTATTTTTAAAATCTTCATTTCGAAGAAAAAAAAAAAACGAAATACCTAACACTTCAGAATGTTTGAAAGAACTAAATTTGAGCTGCACTTATTTTGATCATTTCAGATTCCATGCGTAATTCAAATTATCATTAATTTTGCAAATTTGCATCTTATGCAAAAATTTTCGAAACTTTGACATCACTTCTAATGCTTATGCTTTGAATGTATTGAAAGAAAATAGCAAAAAAAAAAAAAAAAAACAAAAAACGAAAATATCTCTGATGAGAGAGGTCAAATTTTATGTTTTAATCGGCTATGAACAGTTTCGAACGGAAAAGTATAAACAAATTCACATGTAGTCTCTCTGGTTAAATAAAGGAAGGACTCTCTTAAAACAGCTTATAACGAATTTTAAAAAAAATCTAACCAATGTCCAATGAGGTTAATAAATCCAAACGGAATATGACCCACAAATGTTGAAATGAGTTTACATCAAAAATTCTCTATTGGCAGCGTTTCCATTAATTCCTATTTTTTTTTTTTTTTTTTTTTTTTTTGTAAACAAAGAAAACATCCACCAATTTTAAGTTACCACAAAAACATTTGGTTTAACTTTATTTGCGGCTGTTAGATTCTTGTTTGGTTGGCTGATTGGTTTTACAATTTTTGTTCTCTTGAAAAGTTATTTTATTTAATATTTTTTTTTTTTAAATTAATAATTGATTATAACTTAAAAACCATAAGTTTTGAATAGTTTGTTTGTTGTTTATATAAATGACTAAGTTGATTGGTTGGTAGTTTTCATCTGCAAGATTCTATAATCATTTCTATTAGATTTTATTTCGTTAAATTAAAATTTATAAATATAAGAAGTTCATTTTATACAAGAGTTACTATTGTTTTCTAATAACCTTTTGGAAATTGTTTTTAATTCAAAATAGATTTATTTGTGTTTGGAACAAAGCTTATAAAAGTTTTTAATAAAACAGGAGTTGTAAAATTTTAGTTTTGGGTAAAAGTGGATCCGTTTCTGCTTGAAACAATTTTTTGAAACAATTTTTTTGAAATATATATTCTATGGTTGTCTATTTAATACCCTGGTTAAAAGTACCGCATCTAAATGTAGCTGTAAAATGTATAAATAACCCAAAATATTATAAAAAAAAACTATTAAAATAAATTAAAAAAGAAGAAAATGTAGCAGTAAAATGTATAAAAAACCCAAAATATTATATAAAAAATTTAATAAAATAAATTTAAAAGAAGAAGAAAAAACTTAAAGTAGTACTCTGTAACATCCTGACTGAAACAAATAACATTTTTTTTTTTAAATAAAACTATAAATATGTATGTATTTTATCAAATTGAGCTCTAAAATAATACATGTGCAAGGTTCATATTAAGGTTTTTGAAATTTATTCAAATTCCCTGTTTTGAAATAGTTGAGTTACAAATATTTGGTTTGATAAAAAAAACTTCCTTCATCTTTAAGCTATGCAATTTTCAAGAAATATATTCTTATTATAAAGGAATGAGCTGTAAGACCGCCAAATCCGAAGGTCATGTATATTCGGCCCAATTACGGTTGTCGTTTCTATAGTCGTCGTCGACTTTATATGCAAGTCGCCCTTGCTGTCGCTTCGTTTCAAAAATCGTATTACGGTAAAGCATAAAAGAAACTTCGACAGTTTAAAATAAAAGTTGGCAACAATAAAAAAAAAGATATTTCTGAGCGGTATTTGATATATTTCCCTGAATGTCGTTGTTACGTAGTGCATATTACGGTTGTGGGTAACAAATATAACAAATCGGATGAATAATATATATGGAAGCTATAGCTATATCTGAACCGATCTTCACCAAATTTGACATCTTTGCTTCTAGACTCAATTCGGTCGTAAGTGCAAAATTCCATACTATTTGGGCCGATATTACAGCTTTGGTGCACAATAAAAGGCAAATCAGACGAAAATAAATATGGGAGTTATATCTAAATGTTGACCGATTATCTCCAATTTCAATAGGGTTTGTTCTTGGGACAAACAAATTATTTGTGCAAAATTTCCTCTGGATCGGGCAATAAATGCGACCTGTACTTTATTTACAAAAATACATGGACAGACAGACGGACGGACATGCATAAATAGGAACTAACAAATGGCAAATATTTATTCAACTATCGAAGACCGGTCAGGCCAGTATTTTATACAAAACTATATTGGTAACCATGTGAACTTTTATTGGAACTGACGTTTTCCTATTTTGTTTAAATATTTCTTAGCATAATTTTAAGAGCTCTCCGCCATTTTGCGAACTAAAAACAAAACGTAGACTATTAACTTTATAATCTACAGTACTATATAATATAAAATACCGTTTTTGTTTTATATATAAATAGTATGGGCTGCGGAGTCGACTTTCTGGTTCGTCAAAAAATATATCACCTTAATCTACATTCAAGTAGGTCATTCAAATACAATTTTGATCCGGAAAAACTCTGGGTTGCTAGAAAACCCATTTATTCTTGAAATAGCTACGTTTTTGATGTTGCGGCCATCTTAATTCGATAGGTATTAGCTTTTTAATGAAGCCGTCTTCCCATAGATTTTTAGAACTACAATGGGTCAGCTACTGAATACATATAAATTTCGTTTACAGTCTTCTATAAAATTTAGAAAATTTTACTTTAGGGCCCGACTTTTTTTTTTTTTTTTGAGTTTCAGAAAGAGGTCGTCCTCTTATACAAGATCAATGAATTCTCTTAAAAACAAAAACATGTGTTTAAGACAGTTTTTAGAAACTCAAATAAAATGTCCAAATACATCGCCCGATAAAATACAAGCAGACCCATGAATAGCGAAACAGCCTATAAACTGATGAAGCACTACTTCTTACAGGAACAGTGGGTTTAAGCCTGTTCCAAAAAAATGCCAATGTATGCATGTTGACAATGTTCAAATGCATGTTGTAAATGTTCAAATAAACCATCTAAATAGTGAGTCAAATAAAATATGGATGAAATGTCAAATAGGAGTAGCAAAACACCGGAAACATTCAAATATGACAAGAATCATTCTCAGTGGATAAGTATGTCTAACCATGAAACAAATTCCCTCATTCGACATTAGATTGATGACAACAAAAATTATGACCAAAACAACCGGAATCCCACAGTCACATTCATTCTCAGTGGATAGGGAATCTGTATAATCAGTGACTGAATTATCTAATTCGATATCTCCTAAATTTCGATCGAACTCTCTTATTCAATATATATTCTACCGAAATTTTGAATTTAATCAGACCTCAGAGAGGAGCGAAATGGGCTAAATGGAAGGTACGGATACATGGGGGCTATAGCAAAACGTAGACCTATATTGACTGAGAGGGTTAGTTTCCCAATTAAAAATTAAGATACAAAATCTTAGACTAGTGCATTGAAAATTCGTAAAGTTTCTGTTATTGAGGGCTGCACAAATGCTGGGATCTAAATTGACGCTGGATAAAGTACTCTCTGTGATCCTCAAATACAAATTGATAAATGTGCAACAAACATAGGAAAAACCGCATATGTTACTATTTCCATCAAAATACCCAACTTTGGAATGTATGGTAATATATATCCATACGAAATATTGGATTGAAGTAGTCCATTATTTAAATATCTACTTAAACGGCTTCTACTTGACTTTTGAAACTATTTTTTTAAATAAAAACTTAACAGTTACAAAAATGGTATCAGAAAAGGGGGTTTTAATGATTGGAAAAGAAATTTCATGCACATATCCTCACAAGCCTTGCTTCCAGTGATGTCACAATATATCATTAGTTTAAAATAAGTTTTATTTTGTCATAGAATATAAAATGTAAATTTCGTATTTGAAATCGGGTAAAACAAAACTAGGAATTTGAGACCATACAAATGTTAATATCAGAATTAAAGTTTTTTTTAAGAAATATGTTTTTCATTTGCTTTCATTTGTTACAAAACAATACCATTAAATATTACTTAAAAAAACAACAAAAACACTTAACATAAACCTTGCGCATTATCTCTCACTTAAAAAAATTCTGCATTTTAGAATTTTTCCATCATTTCATTTCCTTTCTTTCAACATTTCTTGTGGCAATTGTTGGAATATATTGTGTTATTGCAAATTTCGTTAAATAATAATTATTGTTTTATTAAATTTTTTTTTTATTAATTAATTATTTAATATTATTAAATCTATAAAATTTAATTTGTTTTCTTTTTTGTGTTGTTTTATTGTATTGTATTTTATTTGTATTTAGAATAATGTCCATGCACAAATTATTCTGTTCTCTTCTGTTTTTTAAATAGGTCCTTTATTTTTGCAGAATAGCTGTTGATCATCTCGATTTGTTTTTTATTGTTGCGTTTCGCAATGATATTTTCTGTTTGTTGTTGACCATATGACTGACTGACTGGCAGGTCTTCCAAATGATTCCAATGGATTTGTGGATAGGTATGTGTGTGTGTTGTTGTAGTTTCACATAGTGGTGGTGGTGGTAGTATTGGCTGTGTTTGAGTCTTGGGCATTTCAGTTTTTGTTCTTCTCTTCTCTGTTTACAAAAAACGCAACATTCTTCTTTTGAGTTTTTTCATCCGCTTTTAAAATTCAAAATTGAATGATGATTGACCGCCTGGGCCACCACCGAACTGGAAGAAGTGCCGGAATACATGGGATGGATCAATGTCAGCTGCAAGGGGAAAAGAAAGAAGGGATTGTTAAAATTGTCAGTAAAAACATTTATGGGAATAAAAAAATTGAAGACCAGAGAGTCTTCTTAAGAATTTTGAATTCCTAGGTGATCGCATAGAAGACCGTATTGGCCTTTCTTAGAAGTCCTAATATCAATCTAAAAGAAGACCGATGGGTCTTCTCATAGAAGATGATGGGTCTACTCATAGAAGACCAAAGCGTCTTCTCACAGAAGACCAAAGCGTCTTCTCACAGAAGACCAAAGCGTCTTCTAATAGAAGACCAATAGGTCTTCTCATAGAAGACCAGTAGGTCTTCTCATAGAAGTCCAATAGGTCTTCTCATAGAACACCAATAGGTCTTCTCATAGAAGATCAAGAGGTCATCTC